TAGATTATTAACCAACCAAGAAAAACAGAAAGGTAGCTTTCTGCTCTCATGGTCGCCTACCCTTTCTTGGCCAGCTCCAGATCCTTCTCATGATGATGCAGAGCCTTGTCCATATTACCAAGATCCATCAGTGCATTGCCTACATAGAATATAAGATAAACTTTTAACATAGAGTTTCATATTTCTCATTCTTGTGCTATTGATATTATATGACTACCAATGCAGCTGTGGAGGTTCCCAAGCACTTCTCTCTTATTGGGCAGCACTTCCCCAGACCATTCCTTCACCACCTTCATGAGCTCACGGGCCTTCTTCAGACCGCTATCTGTGTTGCCTGAACTCAAGGCTGTCAATTGAAGAGATAATACTCAAAAATCCAAAAGCACACAAAACATTTTCTGAAAATTATGTAGAGTAGTGCTTGCCCATCCAAAAGTCCTGTGATGCCAGAGCATTGATAAGACATTATTCTGATTCTGATATGAGGTTTCTCCTTCAGTGCAAGTCTATAGAATTTTCTTGCCTGTTTTGTTGTCCGTCAGGCAAAGATCATAAGTCTAAAATCTTACAGTCACTTTCCAACCAAGCAGCTTTTCTTTTGGTCAGTGTGGTGAATTTGCGGAACCAAACTTAATCCCGCCCTAACTTCAATGTTGTTCCTGATGAAAGTCAGCCACTCATCAATTAGCTAAAAATCATCTACATGCACTACCATTCAAAAAATTGTGGTCAGCAAGATTTTTTTTAAAGGGGTCATATGATGCTGCTAAAAAGAACATTATTTTGTGTATTTGGTGTAATGAAATGTGTTTATTCGGTTTAAGGTTCAAAAAACACATTATTTTCCACATACTGTACATTATTGTTTCTCCTCTCTGCCCCGCCTTTCTGAAACACATCGATTTTTGCATCCAGTGGGGACATAATTATGGATTATAATGACTTGTACTGTCTTTTTATGCATTGCGTTGCATCGCGCCGCGTAAACATAAAACCATGTCTGCATTTGTGATCGGAGAAATTACAAACAACAAGTCCTACTCTACACTGCCCAAAAAACTTGCTTTAAATATATAAAATATAAAAACTCTTTAAATATAAAAAACATACTTACAGTCTGTGAGTCAGAACCTGTTTTAGGGGGGCGTGGCTGACTCTTAACTTTTATAAAGAAAATCTCTTTGGATTTGAGACTTTAGTCTTTGCAACTTTACAGATCTTCTTTATGCACCAAGAGCTTGTAACACTCCAAAGAGAAAGGAAAAATTGAAATCGCATCATATGACCCCTTTAAAGAAATTACTACTTTTTTCAGCATGAAATTTATCAAAAACGACAGTAAAGACATTTATAAAATTACAAAAACAAGTATCCTGTATCCACAAAAATATTAAGCAGTACTGTTTTCTTCTTTGATAATAATAATTGTTTCTTGAGCACCAAATCAGCACATTAAAATGATTTCTGAAAGATCTTGTGACACTAATGGCTGCTGAAAATCCAGCTTTGCCATCATAGGAATAAACTACATTTTAAAATATATTAAAATAGAAATTAGTTGCTTAAATTGTAATATGTCTGTTTTTACAGTACTTTTGATTAAATAAATGCATCCTAGGTGAGCAGAAGAGACTTCTTTCAAATATATAAAGAAATTCTTCTAACTCCCGAACATTTGAACGATAGTGTATGGTTTAGCAAGTGTAACAACATGAGTATGCGACTAATGCTAAATTTCATGCTAGGAACCTATACTGTGGACTTTGACCAGTCCCAAACTCTGCAGAGATTCACCTGTGTCAATCTCCTCCAGACTGTCGAGGACGTATCGAGTGGGGTCTGAGGGAGGTTTGTGAAGATGCCGGTTCCACTGCTGCTGCATGAGTTTTCTGTCTCGCTGACGAGCGTAGATGGGCTTCTGCTGCTGCCAGAATGCCGTCCGCGTGTCCAGATATGAGATACAGCCTACGATCAGATCTTGCACACGCTCTCCAGTTCTTATCTTACCTTTTATAAGATCTGTATAGGAGCAGATTGCGAAACTTCATAGAATATGCACTTTCACAGATGCAATCTGACATTTGAAAAGGTCTACAAAACCCCCCCTGAAAAACACACCCTCATCTTGTAGAAGTTTCTCTAAGTATTCTCTGTCACTGTATAGCTCTCCCAGAAGTTCCTTGGCTGTTTTTTCATTTTTGCCCATCTTCTGGCCATGCTTTTTGGATTCCCTCTTATGCTTGGAACGAACCTTTGAACAAGCAAACACATATGTGTTACTAACTGCTGAAATGAACATAAATGGAAAGCATTAACAGTGGCAGGGTGAATAATGAGGGCAGGTGGTTTAATGAGAGAGTGAGCAAGAGATAGAGAAGATAATATAGCCAGCTCACCCCATTAGATTTGTGGAAGAAAGACAAGTCTCCTTTATTTTCCAGCTTCACAGAGGAAGGACCTTTTGGGTTGGGGTGAGAGATGTGGGTAACTGAGGTCTGTTTGTGACGTGTAACCAAAATATGAGCTCCACATTTCTCATCATGTTGTGTCTGAGGACTTACTGCCCACTGAGTTGACGATTGCCTCTTGAGCTTTCTGGATTCCCAGCCTGAACTCCTGCAGCTCTGGACGCAGCTTATTGCCTCGGTGATAGTAGACCAATGCAAACTCAAAATCGCCCATAGTGTAGAGAGCTTCTGCTTTCTGATATAGACCCTGCAGGAGACAGGATGGAGAAGGAGAATCATAGGTTATCTGTTAAAAGAAGCTTTTCATACAAAGCAGTTACAGTAACTAAAGGGACTGGATGCCTAGAGGAACATGCAATGGCACCAAACAGGTTTCTGATTTTTCATTGTTCTTTCATAATTATTATATGATATTACATGCGTTGTGGTAACAAGCCAGCTCCTTGCTATCACATGATATACACTCATCTGAAAATCCCTTGGTTTAATAACCCAGTAAAAAGATTACATTTAAAGTGATGTGTAGAAGTAAATCCATGTATATAAAGATGTATCTTATGTTCACCAATGCTGCATTTACTTCATTAAATGTCCAGTAATAACAGGAATATTGTGAAATATTATTACAGTTTAAAATAACTGTTTTCTATTGTAATATATTGTAAAATGTACTTCATTCGGTGATCAAAGCTGAATTTTCAGCATCATTACTCCAGTCTTCAGTGTCACATGACCCTTCGGAAATCATTCTGATATACTGATTTGCTACTCGAGAAGCATTTATTTTTTATTAATAATGTTGAAAATAGCTGTTCTGCTTAATATTTCTGTGGAAAACATGAGATTTCTTTGATGAATAGAAATTCAAAACAACATTTATTTGAAATACATTTGTTGGAAAAATGTGAAAGGTCTTTACTGTTCCTTTTCACTTTTCCTATCAATTTAAATTGACAAAATTTGACCCCATACTATATATTTATTGTTTATACTAATATATATATATATATATATATATATATATATATATATATATTCTATTTAGAAAATAAACATAACTGCTGATAATTCAGTGCTTTTACTGGGATTGGACATTATTAATTTAGAGCAGGAGTTCTACCTTCCTGCAGAGTTTAGCTCCAACCCTTATCAAACACACCTGTCTGTAATTATCAAGTGCTACTTCAGATCCTAATTAGTTGGTTCAGGTGTGTTTGATCAGGGTTGGAGCTAAACTCTGCAGGAAGGTAGATCTCCAGGAACAGGTTTGGGCACCCCTGATTTAGAAGGTTTATATATAAAAGCTCCAAAAAGTATTTGGATACTTATGCCACACTTAAAAATTAGTTCATTTCATTGCATTACATACAAACTAGTTTGCAACTATTTTTAGGTGACTTTAGTGGATGGTCTCTCACGTTTCACTAGTTTGACCCATCCTTTTTGTCTTAAAACTTTTAGTTTTTTTGAATTTTATTAATTCAATGCTATTTTTTGTAAAATTCGAAAGCGTGCTTGTGACATACATGACATACATGTTTCTTTATCTAATGCAATAATATTTATCAAAATGTAAGTGTGCCACAACACAAGTCTCCACATGCTTTCTGGGGCAATGCCCTACTTTTGCCAGAATCATCTGATCCGGTTTCAGATTATGCAAGTACGCCCCCTTCAGGACAAGTGAACATACAGACCAGACTCAAAGCTGAACCGGCTGGGACCTTCTGGACCGAACGAGGAGATAAAACAGAAATCAGCAGCACAGGTGAACACACCTTGAAGAAGTCTTTGTTGTCTTTGAGGGAGGTCTCGGCATCTTTCAGCGCGCTCTCTGCATCCCCTAGTTTCAAATAACACCTGGACCTGGCGACCAGACAGTTCTTATCATCCGGCTGTACACTTAAAGCCTGGTGGGGAACAAAGAAGACTCTTATAAAGTGTGAAATAAAGCACCCAGTTTAATGTAAGAAATGTAAAATGTATTTCGCATAATCCCCAGACCCAGTTACAGTTATTAGCTTACCGTGGAAAAGCTCTCAATAGCTTTGACATACTCTCCCTTCTGGAACAGCTGGTCACCTTCGGCTACATAGGTGCTAAATGTACTCTTCGGCCCTTGTCCTTCCTCGTTATCGGACATTTTATGCGTATTTATACAAAACTACATCAAAACCATTCAATACATATAAATAAATGTACTTGTAGTCCGAGAAAGTCTTGTCCGCTGTATCCTAGCGACGCGCCTAACAAAACTGCGCAGCCAATCAACTGTGAGAGACCTTTGATTGACATGCCAACACGTACTACGTCACTCCATCTTAAATTCTTAGGTGTAACTTATACACTTTTAATTTCCAAAATATAAAATATATTCTAAAATAATGATCATATTTAATGCAGCAAACGGTTCTCTACTTAACTTTTTTTTTTTAATATATATATATATCAATATAGCAAGAACGTGAAAATGCCTGTGGTGATGCATATGTATCAGAAGAGCCAGAGAAGTTAAGAATTTGGTGAAGGGGAAAACAGAAAGAGGCTTACTTTATTTACATGGCTTTTTAAAAACGGTCCATAGTCCAGACTGTTCCAGCGGAGTGAGCAAAGTCAGCATGGACGTGGTCTTCTGAATACACTGAAGATCTTTCAAGATGAGCAATATGAACGTGTTCCAGACAAATGCTTAAATTGCACGGTTTCCTAACTGGGTACACGGTCAGGTCAAAGACAGCAAGAGAATGCTGGAGCACAACACATCTTCAGCGATCCAATGTCAAGGAACATTTAGGTAAAACGGTAAACATGGCTCACTGATCATGCCTGCAATGTACATAGATCCATATTATACACACTGTGGAGTCAATGGTATCAAGCCCACAAATAACCAGATCTGACATTCACTCCCTCCAGAGGCTCTTTAATTCAGAAGTTAATGAGAGTGCTGGCCAAACATAGTCTCTCCCTGGGTTTAACCTTTAAGAGTGTAGATCCTAGTGTATTGAAATATCATCCATCCATCCAAAGCTCACATCCAGCAAATTTACAATAAATATACATATCAAAAATGTATTTCAGTTAAAAAAAATTAAACAGTCATAAACTATCAACACAAAGAAACACTTTACATTCCAGTAAAATGTACAATGCAGCAAGGGGTTGAATGGCAACATTGACAAATGAATCTTAGAGAGGGACGTGGTCAACAGGTGCGTGAACTTGCTCTCTCTGAACCTCTGTATGCAGTAGTCAAACAATCCACTCGCTTGACGAAACCCAGAACCAGCGTTATTCTTACGGTGACATTTGGCATGAGGTGCTGCATTCACATAATAGTTTGCGGAGGTCTGTAAAATGGTTTGCAACGTTGCATAAATATAATGTGTGAATTCTGACTCTGTACATGTTTAAACAATCTATACGGCACTAGCAGTGATGACTTCCTGTACTAACCCGTGTTTTTTTCTGACGTGCTTTGGATTTGGATCACTAATATGCTGGGAGAGGGGTTATTTATGGGCGGATGGGAAATTACATTAAAGTATTTCGAGTGAGTCTGGGAAAAACAGCAGATTTGCCTGTAGCACCGTCTTATGTTGCCCCAAACATCAACTCAAGTAGTAGTTGAAGCTTTTGAAAGCTGAATAAAGTGAAAATGACAATGAATTCAGGGTACATTCGATAGAGTGGATTAAAAAAGCTAAACAAAACAATAAAACTAAAGCTGGAATACAAGAGCCAAAAAGGACACCGATCAGAGAGAGAACTGTGCAATGTATCATGTTGTTTTTCTGGTACAGAATGGTCATGCCCCTGCCGTTGTTGTCTTTGTGCGTAAGCAGTAAAACAAGTCAATGGCACAGACGCAGGTCCAACTGTGGAGCCCGAAAGCCCATTACACCAGAGTGTAGTACATCAGAGAGCAGGGATGGAGGGGAGTAGTCCGGTTCAGGGGAATTCAGAGGTTGTGAAACTACTGCATACATGCTGAAAGTTGCCAAGTTAGCCAAACTGGAAGAAGAAATTTCCAGGTCCAGATGCTGCAGGAAAAAAAACAAAAACATTTAGTGACACTGAAAAGAAAAGAATCAGTTGAATATAATATGAGAAAATATAATTGACACAAATGAGCTACATCATCACAACAGCTGTAGAGTTAATTTTTACAGTAGTCTTAATTTTATGCATTTACACATCCGATTAAAAGTTTGTGTTCAGTACGATTATTTTGAAAGAAATTAATGCTTTTATTCAGCAAGGATGTCTAAATTGATCAAAAGTGGCAGTAAGGACATTGTTACAACAGATTTCTACTTTAAATAAATGCTGATATTTTAAACTTTGTTCAAAGAATTGTGAAAAAAAATGTATGGTTTCCACAAAAATATTGAACAGCACAACTTTTCAACATTGATAATGTTAATTAAGCATCAAATCAGCATATTAGAATGCTTTCTGGAGGATCATGTGACACTGAAGACTGGAGTAATGATGCTGAAAAATCAGCTCTGACGTCACAGGAATGAATTGCATTTTAAAATATATTCCAATAGAAAACTTTAAATTGCTATAATATTTCACAATATTAATGTTTTTACTGCATTTTTGATGAAGTAAATGATTCCTTGGTGAGCATTAAGAGAAGTCGTTCAAAACCATGAAAAATCATACCAACCACAAACTTCACAACAGTAATGAAATTCAATAGTTTACTGTACAGTCTGAGCATGGGATTAATAAATGTATGAGAAGTAAATAAAGGTTTGCCTTACATGAATTACCTTCAAAACTAAAGCCACCAGGGCCACCAAAGAATGCTTTGAAGATGTTGTTGGCATCAAAGTCTGAAAAAGAGCAAATAAAAAAAAAAGAAATAAAATCATTAGTCACCATACATAAATCAAAAAATATTTTTTAATGGAAGCTTCAGTTGAAAGACAGTACTACGTAATAAACTAAGCATTAATGAAACCCATATTACAGAATAAAACAGTGTTGACAGAAAGAGAAATGAAAAGATCCTGAATGTGTGAAGGAGACAGACCCATGTTCATGTCGTCATCCTCCAGGTCGTGGCCGCTGTCATAGCGGGACTTCTTCTTGGGGTCTGAGAGCACAGTGAAGGCCTCGCCCACCTCCTTAAACTTCTTCTCTTCCTCTTTCTGCACCTCAGCACTCGCTCCGCTATGTCGGTCTGTGAAAAATACAAGAGAGACAGTTACAGAATCAGGAAGAAAAAAAACAAAAAAAACCCTTTAGGACTTTCTTACACACTGGTGGCCCCATTACTGCCTACAGAACAGACTTCTGGGGAATTTGCAGATATAGACTGTATAAGGAGAAAACGCTGTGATTCTTTCAATGAAATATGTACCTGGGTGGTGCATCAGGGCTCGTTTACGATAGGCCTTCTTGAGTTCATCTTCAGTGGCATTTTTATCCACCCCAAGGACCTTGTAATAATCTTTCCTCTTGCTTTTCTTCAGCTCTAACTGAGCGTTCTTCAACAGGTTCTTATGTTCTGAAACACACCACACAGAAAAAATTAATGGAAATGAAACATTTTAATGCACATTCAAAATGAACACACACCAATTGAAAATCCCATCATATGACCCCTTTAAGATCTAAATGACTGTTTACGAGAATGCTTGCAAAGACTGTCATTTTGATAAATGTGTATTTAACCGCTCAAGGCCAATAAAGCAACAAAAACTCATGCACTCTATGCGTCTTCATGTGCGCGCGCCTCAGACCTTGCTTAGAAACAGCCTCACACACAGCGCACGCATATAGCACTGTTGTTTGCATTTCAGTAGCTTAAAATCACTTCCGCAATGCTTAAAAATGTGTGCAAAATGATAAATTTTCGTGACCACGGCCACAGCACAGACCGGTTAAACGTGTCTACCGGCATATCGCCCATCCCTACTTCAAACTGTTGTTTCTGGTTAAAATACGAGTTTTCTATCCACAAAATTGGTTTCTCCAGTGAAAAAGTCATCTCATCTGAATCAGGAGAGAAATATGCACAGATAAAACACCCTTTACAAACAAAAATAGTCCAACACAGTTCTAAAATAATATGTGGACAGATTCTGATGTGAGAGAACAACAGGGGATGGACTTTTTCTTACTGGAGAAAACAATTGTATGGATTAAAACTTATACTTTGGTCAGAAGCATCCGTTTAAAGTTAAAATGCCTTAATGATGGATTTGTTTCCAATGAACACAGCTTATCGCTTCACTGATAGACAGAAGTTACATCAATTACTTGTGGATTACTGTGATGTTTTTATCAGCTGTTTGGACTCATTTTAACGGCACCCATTCACTGCAGAGGATCCATTGGTGAGCAAGTGATGTAAAGCTAACTTTCTCCAAATATGGTAGGATAGATATACAAACTCATCTACATCTTGGATGGCCCGAGGGGGAGTACAATTTCAGCAAAATTTCAATTTTGGCTGAACTAGAACCTTAATCTGAATACTTATAATGTATTCAAATACACTTACTCTGCAGGCCAGACGGGCCTTCTCATGGTCTGGTGCCATGCGCAGCGCTTGAATGAAAAACTGCACAGCCTTATCAATGCAGTCTTCGTAATATAGACATAATCCCCGCACATACAAGGCATCGCCATTGGTGGAATCTATCCGCAATATGTCACTGAAGATGCAAAAAGCAAGAGTGAGATAGAAAATATACATCAGTGGTCAACTGATATGGATTTTTCAAAGGATGATGAAAACTATGTGGGCAGTAGCAGACGTACATCCGTCTATAATATATAGAAAATGTGCACAAAAATACTGTATGTGGTGAGACCTTTTAAAAACATTCATTTAAAAATAAATACAATAAAACTTAAAAGCACACTTCCTGTTTTAACAGGCTTATACTGCAAAAAGAGATACTGTACTTCATTTGCTATCACCGAATCATTTTATATCAACATAGCTTTAATTTGAATAACCATATATCGGTTAACTATTAACTAAACATTTCCCGTAACACTATAGTGCTGTTACCTGGCGACAGATTGGGCCTCTGGGTAGCGTCCCAGCAGAGCCAGACACTCTGCTTTCAAAACCTTGAACCTGTGACACGCAGAAGCGGGCTCTAATGCCCGATCCATACAGAACACCACCTACAGAGAGACACACACTTATATTCACCTGTACATCAGACTCTCAGCAGCTAGAAGAGTAATACAAACACACTCACCATCCTGAAGTCTCGCTTCTCAAAGCTGATCTCAGCCAAGCGCTCAAACTCCAGTATGGACTCTGCGTTCTTCAGCTGCAAGAGACACAGGAGGTCAGAGGTAGTGGTCGACCGATATATCGCCAAGGCCGATATATCGGCCGATATTTGGCATTTTTCAAATATCGGCATCGGCCGATAAGTTTTCTTGTTTGGCCGATGCGTTTGAGGCGGGACTTTTATTTTGACGGCACGGCAGACTTTTATTTTGACAGCGGCAGCGCCTGAGCACAGTGCTCACATTCTCCCTCTTGTTCGCTGTCGTCGTTCAGTTCTGTCTAATACGGATAGAAGTCTATCTAATAATCAGATAGAACTGTTAAACAAAGGAATTAAAATGTATTCAAAAAAGTATTATAACGATTGCTTTAATATTATTAGTAATAAAAAGGCAAACATTATAATACTTTCTCATTTGCCGTCAGCATTCAGCAAATATGCTGACTTGAATGACTAATGAACATTTAATTTCACAAACCTTGCAGACTTAGTCGAATCTAGTTGAGATCTTGTGAAGTGTGCATTTGTATCCTGCATGATCGCGTGTTCTCTGCGTGACGGTCGGTCCGTGTGAATTGAATGCTGACAGGAGGAGAATTCACTGGAGACGCGCCATCGACAAATTTTAAACTAGTGACTTCAAATTATTATGCGCTTTATGCATATGCCCACTGCCATATTCATGTCATTTTCATTGCGTGCTGTATGTAAAAATGAGTGTTACCTTGGCTTTATAAAAAAAAAAAAAAAAAAAAAAAAAAAAAAAGATTCCCAATGCACACAAACTTCCCAGAATACTGAGTGCCCTGTTGGTTACAGCGTTTACTTCCTTTTTAACTAGATTCTTATTAAATATTTATTTGTGAAAAATGCTTTGTTTTCTAAAGTATTAGTATGTTTATTTTACACAATTATTTTAATCAATTTTAAATGATTTCAAATTTCTTAAATATAAAATTATATCGGCCATCCTGCTTTCCAAGATATCGGTCGACCACTAGTCAGAGGCCTTATGAATGAGAGGCGATTATGTATGCCTGCAATGAGACGTAACGGTGTTTGGTATTTCTAGTCAATGTACCTCCTGCTGCACCTGACTGTTGTCTGGTTCCAGCTCTAGAACCTTCTGGAAGCAGCGGCTGGCAGCCATAGCATTGCCGAGCAGCAGGTGGCACTTGCCCTCACGCATGTGACCCTGTGGAACAGAACAATAATGATTAGTGACATACAATTTTAAACAGAATGCTGACTACATTCACATTTATGCATACACCTGAATTTATTGCGGTTGCTTTTATCCAAAACAACATGCATTGCATTCAAGGTATGCATTTCATCAGTTCATGAATTCCAAGCTTTTTTTATGCCAGCTGAAACCCTTTGACCAACAGTATTTACCTCAAGTACCCCCTGAGATTAACCCTGTAAAGTTAACCCTGTAAAGCCTAAAATGTGAAATAGTCAAAATATTTTGATATGGAATGGACTTTTGAGTATCATATTTGACACATCAAGCTTTTATGACTCATACAGAATGACATAGTGGAAATATGGAGCTCATATTAGAGAAGGACAACATTTTATTCAGGTGTCCAAACTGAGAAAATTTGGTGCAATTGCAGAAATTATTATAACTTGTAATGTAAATCAATGAGGTCTTTATAACATTATAGTAGATTACTTGCATAAAATGCATATAAATATCAGATGTCACTCTATATTTCCCAATAATTTGTATTAGTATTTAAATGCTCTGTAGTTTTTATTGGAGGGGTCAAAACATATAAATAATGCAATGGCGATTGAGAAATGTACAAATAAAAATTTATCAAAAGCTTGATCATATTTGATATTCACATTTGTGACTATCAGGGATGGGATAAAAAACAACAACAACAACAAAAAAAATGTGTAGGTAATCCAATAAACTGAAGTTGCTTCAGTCCAGTAAATGCTCATCTTAAAACATTACTAAAAACATTTATTTTATTAAATAAGTAAGTAAAGCTTTCACAGCACAAACACGCATGAACCACAACCTAAACGGGGACATTTTTTAGAATGTTTCATATTGAGAATTTAACACTAGAACTACCAAGGCAGTCATTTTGACCATTTTTTAATTTTTAAATGTAATAACTTTGTTGAAATAAAACCCATATAACTATAATACCCTGACTTTTCCTAAATGTGTGTATATTTTATTATAACTATTATATTCTATTGCCAAGCTAAAATTCCTGTTCGTAAAAAAGCCGTGTGGACACCTCCAATACAACAACTGCTGTCATTCAATCTGCCACGCTTCCAGGTAGGCTATGTTTGGCTGGAAGAACAGCCTGGCTGTTATCAATAATAGTTTACTTCAATGTTATGACAAAATAGCCATAATAATAATAATAATAATAATGATGGTTATTAGTCTATTATTTTTATGCTAGTGTAATGCTATAGCTAATGCATATAGGCTAATTTGAGCCCCGACAAGACTGATATTGTGAAATAAAAATGAATTAGGCTTTTTTTTTTTTTGCGACAGTGACTGTTTATTATTATAATCTATACTATCATAACAGATCCATTTATTCACGGATCACAATTCCAGTGGTGGCTGCATAGAATTGTTTCCAATTCATCTGATCCAAACATTTCCAATAACTCAAGAGCGACAAAAAATATCTTATTTTTTAGGGTGATGACATCATAAAATATGACAACAGAAATTCAAAGCTTTATTGTAAAACCTCAAAAGAAGCTTCGAATGTAAATATGATATGACAAAAATGGCATTCAGTTCAGTCTAGTATGAACGGTCAGAATGACCGCTATGGCCATTCTAGTAGTTATAGAATTCCGGTAGTTCTAGTGTTAAATGCCATAGAAATTTGCGTATCAAATATGGTACAATAGGCTCTTATTTAAATATTTGTTAAACATTTTTTAAAACATTTAAACATAAAAATTTAATTATTAGCTTTTTTTCAACTCACAAACACCCTGCGGTTCCCTCGTGAACCACAGTTTGGGATACCCTGAGCTAAAGCATGGCACCAACTGGAACCTTTCGAGATTTTTCTAAAAATTGTCACCCTAAATGCTCAGAACATCAGAAGGGCTCACCTTCATGAAAGTGTCATCTAGCCGCACGGCCTGCTGGGAGTCCTCCAGTGCCTCTCTGTAGCGACTCAGCATCATCAATGTGGCCGCACGGTTGCCATAGTAACTGGCATTTTTCGGGCACAAGTCTGTAAAAAGGACACAAACAAAAAATGTAGATAGACATTTCAGTAAACAGAAAGGGGAATTTAAAAAAAAAATCTGTGGATATTTTTGTTCAAACCAGAACGGAAAAGGTCACCAAAACATTTCTAAAACAAGTGGTTGCCATGACAAAATCTATTCTGGAAATTATGTTACAGGCTTCAAGGAAAACATGTGGAGACCAGAGAAACTTTGAATATTGAGTCTAATGTGAGGGCACAGTATGCGATTCAGAGGAACAACCCAATGCAAAAGATGCCCACAGAAAGCTAGGCAGACATGAACCACATACAGCAAAGTACACTTTTAAGGGTTCTTACCGATGGCCTTGGTGTAGAAGTTGAAAGCTTCAGCATAGTCCTTCTTGACATAGTACACATTTCCCTGTTCTTTGAAGCCTTCCGCTTCCCTGCGGATTGAGACAAACAAAAATGATAACAGTGCCTCCAGAAACAGAAGATCAGAACAGCTGTTAGAAAACTTGTTAAGATTTAGCCACTCCAAACTGAACATCCTCTTTGTGCTTTGGGACATGGATATGCCACCAGTCCTCACAAAAACCAGATGATATAGATCAGAAAATACCGCTGGCATGTGCATATCACATTTCGAAGATGTGAGACCTCTAAAGAATGGGCTGCATTGTCAGGACTCAAGCTCCAGAATACCTGCCTACACCGGTGTAATAAATACTTCAACATGCAATATTAACAGAGGCACAAGCCATCATGGTCAGTGAAAGTGTGTGTGTATTTACCGAATACATTGTGTTCTGAACTATAGGTGTCTGGGGGAAGTGTACAAAGTAATATTAGGCTGCTAAACATAGATACTTCACTACCAGTGGTGTCTGTTTTAAATCAGTCAAACAGCACACAGATGTATGGCATCAGGTGGGATGGAGTGCTCTCTGGGAAACAATGCAAGGCGGTATACGTTCAAAGAAGACTAGAGAACGAGTGTCACATTACCAGCTTTAACTTTACCCATCTATACTGAAGAGTTAAACATAAGAGTGGAGCAAAAGGAAACAGTTCTGCAACAGTGAAAGCCATCTGTAGAGATGGTTAACTTTATTCCTCTGAGGATTCAGAGCACAGCGGAACTGTGGGAAACGAGGGCAACATAAGCCCTTTATATCTACATATTTTATGACATGATTTTTTTTCAAAGTGAATCATTTTTTGGGGAGAAAACGTGGCTTTTTTTCCTATTCGACAACAATTTCTAAAGCTACAAAGCAAAGCAAAAAGTGAAACAAAATGAAAACCGAATTATTATACTGAGCAATTACGAGGTCACATTGCAACATCAGAAAAAATAGTTTAAAAAGAGTTTCAATTTTGAGTTCTCAGAATTGCGAGGAAAAGGCCAAATAGTGAGCTAAAAAGTCGCAAATACCCTTCAATAAGGCTCAGAGGTGGCAGGCTGTTGAGAGCATTAAAATCACAATGAAATGGAAGTAGTGACAGATCTTTTCTTCCATATTGTGACTGACATACCATGATAGATAGATAGATAGACACACACACACACACACACACACACATACAGTGGGGAAAAAAAGTATTTAGTCAGCCACCAATTGTGCAAGTTCTCCCACTTAAAAAGATGAGAGAGGCCTGTAATTTTCATCATAGGTATACCTCAACTATGAGAGACAAAATGAGAAAAAAAATCCAGAAAATCACATTGTAGGATTTTTAAAGAATTTATTTGCAAATTATGGTCGAAAATAAGTATTTGGTCAATAACAAAATTTAATCTCAATACTTTGTTATATACACTTTGTTGGCAATGACAGAGGTCAAACATTTTCTGTAAGTCTTCACAAGGTTTTCACACACGGTTGCTGGTATTTTGGCCCATTCCTCCATGCAGATCTCCTCTATGAATAAAAGTAGGGCAGGGACTTCTAACTAGGGCTGAACGATTAATTGCATTTGTGATAATATCGCTATATGAAAAAAATTTGATTTTTCAACCGCAGAGGCTGCGATTACACTCGGTCATGTGACACGCGAGAATAAAGAGATGTGTTCGACTTGAAAATCGATCGTGTATGACATGAAAGTACGGCGAGAGAAAGCATAAGGATCTCTTATAGCTCTCGCAGTACTTTGACACACACCGATCGGTCTAAGCAGCGCTGCTTCAAGTAGAACACATCTAAGCAGTCTTCAGAGGAAGCATCAAGTTGGCATGCTACAGTGTTGCCAAGTCCACGGTTTGGGGAACCAAATCACAAAATTTAGTGTGTGATTGGTTACTGACTTTCATTTTAATGTTTACACCAAGTTTACTGTGCGTTCACACCGCCGCCGTCGAGAGCATCAAAAATCACTCTGGCCGCCCTGCCAACAACGCTGTAGAAAGATTTGTGGACGCTCTGACGTAGATCGAATGCTTATCTTGTATTTAAAGGGGTCACAAAGCAAGCAAGCTTGTTGAGCTTGTGCAGACTGACCACAAGGAGGGTAACGTTATATGTTAACCTCATTAAATATTGTTGTGGACGAAGTATTAAGATCCTTTACCTCATAATGTATAAAGCTCTAATACCACACTGTAAAAAATACTCTGATAAAAGTAAAAGTCCTGCATTGAAAATGTTATGTCGCAATTAGATTTCCCAAAATCATTCAGCCCTACTTAAAACTATTTTAACTATTGGTTGTTGATTAGATTGAGATGTGGGATCACTCAAAAATGGAGTCAAATCTGAGTGTGAGCTTGCAGTTGATTGTGGCCAGGATTTAAGCAGACTAAAGTAGTCCAACACACATGACCAGAAATAAGTGTTATTCACCGGAGAATCGAGTTATGACATAATAGCCTTATTCAGACTAACATTCACATGTTGTTTGAAATCCTGTTCAAATTGCATTTCGGGAAACCTGTTTTGTTTGAGTGCTCTGATCAGATTTTGTGCAGCTTTCTCATGCCATGTAAAATGTAAACACGTCAGATGTTGTTTGTATAAAGAAAACATTGTGAATGACTTTGTAGAAACAAGGTTGTGCTGTTGCGAAGTACGAGTAAGCAGAAAATTACAATATACAGCTGGTCTACACACCTCTTTAAATTTTGAGACTAGCCACGCATTTTAGCTTCCTATGTTTCTGCTGCTTCCTCATAAAATTCAGTGCAATGGCAACATGCTGCAAGACAACAACGTTGCTGCACAGAAATCAATGCATATATTCCGTAAAACAAAAGAGTGCCACAGGACAAACAAACCAAATCGGAATGGTTACAATTAGTGCTGTCAAATGATTAATCGCATCCAAAATAAAAGATTTTGTTCATATAATATATGTATGTGTGCCGTGCATATTTATTATGTATATATAAATACACACACATACACGTATATTTTTCAGAAAAATAGGTTGTTTATATATTAAAGGGGTGATGCTTTTTTAAAGATCATTATTTTGTGTATTTGGTGTAACAGAATATGTTGACATGCTTTAATGTTCAAAAAACAAATTTTTCAAACACTGTACATTATTGTAGGTCCTCTATGCCCCGCCTCTCTCAAACGCTTCGTTTTCTACAAAGTCCCTCCTTCCGACAAGCGCAGTCTGCTCTGATTGGCCAGCTGACCCAGTGCATTGTGATTGGCCGAACACCGCAAGCACTCGTCGGAAATGTAACGCCCCTTACCATAATCGCGAGCTTCATCTTTCAAAATAAATGTAAAGACAGTAAATAATGTCATTAGTTTTACCATCAGTTCAAGCCCGAAAGGGGAACAGAGTCGCGTGACAGACACGGTGATGAATAGGGAAGGAATGATTACCGGTTTCACGATAAATCACGATAAAATGCACTGACGGTTAGTATTATCGTTTAAAATTTAATTATCATCAAAACCGTGTTTGATTATCGCGCTTTTGAAAACTCGCGGCAAATCCTGTCCAGCCAGCCTCAGTCTGACGCAGAAGCAGCATACAGTGGTGGTGTTGTTTTTTTGTTGCACGAGACGAAATGGCGGATGCAGTGACAGCGCTCGGGATATTTTTCAGCCATCTAAGAGGACCAAATCGGTGGTCTGGTCGTATTTTGGCTTTTACAAGAGTCCTGAAGGCAATTTAATCGAGGACGGTCACCCTGTCTGCTTTCCCGTAACCTCCGTGGACAAAGCAGTATTGCGATTAAGAACACTTCCTTTACGCATTACATGGAGCGAAGATGAAAACAAAATGCCATCAAATCGTTTCTGAAGACAATCAGAACCTTCAGAGGTACATTCATATAATTAATTCATTCATATATTCATTTGTATAAATCCCTTAGCTCTCTTTTAAAACCACCCAGCTTTTCCGCCCTGTTTTCACTCAAAACGAAACTACTCTGCGTGCTGTGCGCACGTGACACTGTTACTTAAAACTGTGCATTATGTTGGACAGTATTTATTTATCATGAGTTGTTCAAATCGCGGTAATCTAATACGGTTTTAATAATTAAAATATGAAACGGTAATACTAACCGTGGGGAATTTTAGCATGATTTATCATCAAACTGGTAATAGTTACATCCCTACATGCCATCTACTTCATCAAAACCTGCTTGCATATTACACGGATGAAATATTAGTCAATAGGCACATTTCCATTACAGATGTGCGCAAAACTTTGGCGATATTTTATAAATGTCGATTAAAAAAAAAAGTATTGCGAAATGACGGCGTTTCCATTAACCAATGTTATGTGACTAAAATGTAACCTTTTGCCTCTCGCGATAAGTCATGGCAACGGATTTTGGCTGTATCTTTACAGAAGCAGCACGGCCAGATTCTGGAATAAACAAGCATTGTGGCCGCAATCAGCTTCAGTGGCCATATCAGAGCCACACTGCACCACAGACGTGTGCAGTGTAAATGGTCTAAGCATTAATGGTAGGGAAAGCCCCTTATACTGGAGAGCAGCCACGTATGATGCGTTTCTTGGAGGTTATAGTACATTGAAGAATGATCATATGACTTTTTACATACTCCATGTGACCTGTAAATGCGAAAAAGTCGTTTCCATTGCAGTTTTGCAAATTATTCCTTTTTCACATTGCCTGAAAAACCACCTCATGCGAGCGTAAAAACTTTGTGATATATGGGCGTTTTTGCAAAATTGACGCGTATTTTCAATTCACAATTTGAAGGGTAATGGAAACGCGCCTAATGACGCCTTTATCTCTGGAATATTCTCGAGAGGGTTTTACACACCAGTCAACAGCTGAGCCTACTTAAATCGCACACCAATGTTCAACCTCACACTCCTCAGACAGAGAGCTGCAGCTGTAGTGAAGTGTTTGTCCTGTGCCACCTGTGTGGTCATGCAAATATAGTGCTTTATTCAGACGTCACTGTTCACACCCTCCAGTTAATCTGGAAACCAGAAGCAGACTGGTGCTTTCTGTGAGAGAGAATGACGTAATGACGTGAATCAATGATAGAGCAGGTACATGAGCTGACAATACTTCATATCACATGCACAAGTCATGACGCACAGTAGCTGTTTCCTATAAAGTGCATTTAGCGCCTGCCCACTTTTTCAACAGCCTTTGTTCCAGAAGCGTTTTTCCTATAACTTTTTCTTACCTCAGTTTAAGAGTTTAACCATCAACCAAACCAATCAACTATGAGGTGAATCACAACAATAGAAACTTTCATTGGAAACAAAACAACTGAAAAAACAAGTACAAGACTGTGTACTTAATAGTTTTATTGAGGGAAAGAACTACAATTCCATGAAGCATTGCAAATAACAAGAATTGAAAATGAGGGAGAATACAAAATCAAGTAGGCATACATTGATGCCCATTTTGATCCTGACTGGTGGAGATTTCTCTGCTGAATTATGGGTCATTTATTTTTTCATTAGTTGAACATGATTATTTAAAAAAATACATTTAAATAATGCAGGCTGATGGCTTCAACAAAAGCATATACCATCGATTAACAACCTCATAGCTCACAGCAGGTCTGTCTTTAGAGGAATGAAAATGAATGGGATTTTTACTTCCGGTGCCCGACTGTTGCACCATTAGTCCAATTGGCATTTATTTAGAGTTACATTGGAAACCGTAACTCAATCTATTAAAACAACAGCAGACAAATTGAAATTGAAATATGAGACCCTGGACTACAAACCCCGTCATAAGGGTAAATCTTTTCAAATTGAGATTTATACTGAACATCTGAAAGCTGAATAAATAAGCTTTCCATTGATGTATGGTTTGTTAGGACAGGACCATATTCGGCTGAGATACAACTATTTGAAAATCTGGAATCTGAGGGTGCAAAATTTTTTTTATCGAAATATTGATAAAATCGGCTTTAAAGTTGTCCAAATGAGGTTCTTAGCCATGCATATTACTAATAAAAAATTAAGTTGATATATTTACAGAAGGGAATTTATAAAATATCTTCATGGAACATGATCTTTACTTAATATCCTAATGATTTTTGGCATAAAAGAAAAATCGATAATTTTGACCCAAACAATATATTGTTGGGTATTGCTACAAATATAACTGTGCGACTTAAGACTGGTTTTGTGCTCCAGCGTCACAAATTAAAAGTCAAGTACTTGGAGTTCACCAGGAACATCAGGTTTGTACTGCATCTTTACAGTAGTGTGTGACTGATAATACTCTAACTACACTTCACATGAGGAACGTTATGTCAGACAGGAGGTTAACTTCTCGCGTGTCCAGTTACAGTTTGGTAACCAATCGTTTCTAGTCAACGTGCAAGTTCACGTCATGCCTCAGTCCGCCCACAGAGACTTCAAACAGAAAGTTCTAGAAGTGAACCACTTATTATAGACGACATTATAACGGCCACAACATAAACAAACGTTACTGCACATGCCCGCTTTTGTGGCCCTAACTTAACTTCCGGTATACAACAGCCAAGTAGTCCCTCTAGATCAGGGGTGGGCAAACTTATTTTTGTTAACAAGCAAAATATGTTTGCGGTGTAAATCAGACGGACTTACTGAAAATGCAA